GAAACAAACATTCCTATCATATTCACTAGTTCACTTCGATATCGATTTGTATTAATAGAAGAAATACATAAATCAGTCTCACCACGAGTTAATTTGAATAGAAACACATAAAATATCGATAATCCAAGTTGAAAAGGTGTGAGATGATGTGATGATGCATAGTTTAGAAATGATCTACATATTTTATCATCGAAAATAATTTGAGCTGTAGAAGCTAAACCTGATCGTTGATCAGTTGACGAACGTTGTCGGTCAACAGGTAATAATAATTGGCGTACGAAATTATACCCGTTCAGTTCTGATAACCAAAATTCATGAGATAATGTCATATCCATAACATGTTCATAAATAGAATAGTCAATATATTGTAATGAATTATCATCTATAGAGAACAACTCATTAGATTGATAAGCAAGAAAAAGATCACGAAGAAAGATTGATGTCGATGCTCCATCAAACATTGCATGATGAATGGTAAATAATATTAGATCATCTTTAGTCAATAGATCATTATTCCGAGTGAATGAATGATTTGATTGATCACGACGGAGAATATGACAATTAATAATATGACCTATTGATAAATCAAATAAATCAGTTTGACTTAAAATCTTCTTTACAATTTCATTCTGTTCATGTTCTTCATTAGGAAGATTACTTATTGAAAATCTAGATGATTTCTTATCATTGATAATGGCATTTGTATCTAAACAATGTTGAATAATAGTACCATTTGCATTAAGATAGAGTGCTGTTCGAAGAATTCGATGTTTTCTTATAATAGATTGAAATGCATGTTGTAATTGTGAAATAGATATATGATCATTCGTAGATGAAATTCGATAAATTAATGGAATAACATACATGTTATTATTATTATTATTATTATTCGTTGATGAGAAACGAATTTGTTCGTCTAAGAAAATACGTTCTTGTGCAAATGATGCTCTAGCTAGAATGAGAAAAGCAGATAAATATGTAGTTGAGTATAGTATCAATTGCAAGTTGTTTTATGTACCTTGAATGAGATGTAATGAACACCAGTGATAGTCATTGACAGCCTCTTTCACATTAATAGTTTGACAAATGAGTTGAGCATGATCGATGATTGTTGGATATTGAAAAAGATCACTAATAGACAGAGTATTTGTTTCGAGATCAAGTTCTATTTTATATCGATGAAATAGTTGCATAATGACAAGTGAATGACCACCAAGAGTGAAGATATTTGTGTTAGTTGAGATTTGCTTTTGTTTCAATAAATCGCACCAAATATCATGAATGATAATTTCAATTTCATTCATTGGTAACAATAGTTTATCATGATCAGCGAGGTGCATTGTTGAAAAATCAGGAGGTGGAAGAAGTTTTCGATCTATTTTTCCATTTGGATTCAATGGTAATTTCTCAAGTATAACAACGAGAGATGGAATCATATGTGGTGGAAGATGTGATTGGCAATGTGTCCGTAACTGATTTTCATCAATATTAGAACTTTGAACATAGGCAATTAGATGATCATCATTCCATTTCATGACAACACAAGCTGAAATGGATGTTCGAAGTAAGCATTGCTCGATTTCACCAAGTTCAATTCGTTGTCCATGTAATTTGATCTGATAGTCTTTTCTACCAACGTAATGTATTAATCCTTTATTGTCCACATGGACAAGATCACCTGTTCGATAGAATAACTCATCATTTATATAAATGAATACTTTTGCAGTCAAATCGTCACGTCCAAGATAACTAGCAAAAATTCCAACACCTGAAACAAGTAGTTCCCCATCAGAATGTACAGTTTGTGGTTGATCAAAGTCATCTTGAGCTATGCAGCGATAATTAGGAAGTGGCATACCAAGCGGAATACTTTGTTCATCGTTGATTGAGTTTACTTGATGAAATAAAGATTGCAGAGTAGTTTCGGCGGGACCACATAAATTCCATATGTGACAGTTCTTTGTGGTACTTTCTAGCAATTGAATAAGTTTCAAAGAACAACGTTCCCCTATGCATAACGAAGGGAAAATGTTATGGAAGAGAAAAGACCAACAATCATGAACACTCACCTCCAGTACACAGAGACCGCAGATATTTCACGATGAAGTGTTTCTTGCTTGCAACGATGAAGTCGAAAAAGAGTTGTAATATAGTAGGTACTGTGTATAAAAAACTGATTTGTTTGGTATATAGAACTTCCGAGAGATATTCAAAGTCTGTATTTCCTCTTGGATGTAGCATCACTAGGCAAGCACCAATTATTATAGTTCCTATAATTTCTTGAACATGGATATCAAATGAGCAACGTGCAATTTGTACGACGGTATCACTTTTATTAAATAAATCAATAAGTACTAGCGATCTTATGGACTGAGCGAAATTTTTATGTCGAAGTTGAGCCTGTAAAAAACAAAAGCAAATCGATATTCTGTCGCAATTCTACTTTTATAACTAACCGGTTTAGGTACTCCAGTTGAACCACTTGTGAATATAATGTAAGCTATATTGTCCGATTTAACTATGATGTTCGATAGCTGATCAATATCAACACTACTATGCATATCATTGTTAACCAATATCGAGCTAATGTCAAATCTTTTAATACCATCAGCAAGCTGTTTTTTTGTCAACCAATGAACAAGAACAAGACGACTTTGAGTTTGTTGTATGAGACCATGTAAACGATATTGTGGATCTCGAGGTGATAATGGACAATATGCACCACCGGTCATTTCAATCCCCATAATACCGATTACCTATAAAAAAGAAACCATCAATCACACTCTACATCCGTCTCTTAAAATAACTCACCATCGACAAACTTCGCTCAACACATTGACACACGATCTCACTTGGAAACACATGATATTCATTGAGAAGAGTTAAAGATAATACCTGAACATAATGTAGAAGTTCAGCATATGTCAAAGACTGCTCATCAAGTTCAACAGCTATTTTTTGTGGATGTTTCATTACTTGATATACAAACTTATGATGAATACAAGTGAGAGGAGATGGAAATGACACTTGTGTATTATTCATTGATTGCATGAGTAATG